TTAGAAAACGTATTGTTAACGATAAATAGAATAACGCCACCCTCCTCCTTAGCAGATCTTTCAATTATTTAGTCATCCGAAATACCGAAAAGAACTTTCGAGATAGTTGCCGGAATATAAAGACTTTTGTCTTTCGAAGGACTGAGATGAGTTGAAAGACAGATCCCAGAATTGGCCTGTTAGTATTTTTTTTTTATATGAAATAAGTTTCCGTTTTAAAACAATAAATTCTACAAGTCAAGAGAAAATTAGATTAAAAAAGAAAAAAAAACTAAATAAAATTGATTTTTAAAAATTTAACAAGAAAATAAAATAAATAAAAAAAGGAAAAGGACAGTTTTCCCACCCTAGGACTGGAGCTCGCATCTCTCGAATGGCACGGCAGTGCTCTACTCGCTCAGCCATTGCGATTGTTGAGGCAGTGTGCGCAAAATAATATAAGTACTTATTTTTATACCCGAGCGCACTTGTGCACAAGGGTATTATAACTTTGTTCACATAGCGGTTGTTTGTAACAGGCAAAACGAATCGAGATAGATATAGACAAATGTATACATAAATGATCAGAATGAAAAGAGAAATCGAATAAGCGGTGACTGTCTGTCCGTCCGTCTGTCCGTCCGTCTGTCCGTCCGTCTGTGCACACGATAACTCGAGTAAAAATTGAGATATCATAACGAAACTTGGCATGTGCACTTCTTTTTGGCGTAGGACGGATGATGGTATTGACACAGGCCAAATTGGACATCAACCACGCCTACCTCCCATATAACGGTAATTTTCAGAAATACGAAAACTGCGATATTTTAGTAACTACTGAAGATTATTCACTCAAAACTGATATTTACAAAAATTTTTAGGCGAAAAATAAGATTATAAATTTTTGGAAAATGGGCGAAGCCACGCCCACTTATGGATACAAGCGTATATCTTGGTAACCGCTGCACCAATTTCTTCCAAACTTGGCACAGTTGTTAGCCCTGCTACAGCATATCAAATGGCCAAATCGGGCAATAACCACGCCTACCTCCCATATAACGGTAATTTGGAGAAATACGAAATCTTTGATAAATCAATAAATATTAAAGCTAATTTATTCAAAATTGACGCTTGCAACAATTCTTTACCAAGAAGTACGTTTATGATTTAATTTTGAAAAATGGGCGTGGCAACCCCCACTTATGATCACATATATGTATCTCGGTATCCGTTCTACCAATTTATACCAAACTCGGTATGATTATTGTGCTTGCCACATCGAAGCAAAACGTTGAAAATTATTGGAATCAGATTAAAATTACGAACACTTTTCATATAAAGGCAAATTTTAGAAATGCTTGAAACTTCAATATGTCGAAATTTAAGGACGCTAATTTACTCAAAATTGATACACACCGGCTTACCATGTAGCGGTATCTTTCAGAAAGGTGAAAATCATATACTTAGTACATGCGCCGGGTATTTAATGTTCGGCTCC